TATATTTGTTTAGGGTTAAGAGTTTGTGGTATATAATAATTATATTTGAAACTTTTTAAAGTTTGTTATAAATTGTTGATTTTTTTGGACACTATGTTTATCTTTAATGACTTGTATAATTTAAGATTTAAATTTATTATCAAGGAATAAAGGTTTAGGGTTTAGAATATGTTTAGAGTTTGAGATATATTTAAGGTTAAGAGTTTGATAAAAAAAAATATTATATTTGAATTATTATATGTGTTGGGTTTTTCAATGTTATTAATTATTTTTTAAAATAAATTTATTTAGAATTTTAAATTTAAATTTTATGATTAAAGATAAATATTTAGGTTTAGAATATGTTTAGGGATTCATTTTTCTTTGAATAGCCACAAAATATGTTGTTGCTATGTATATCTACGTCTTGCTACGTGTTGGTTCGTGGCTAATAGTGGATAGGTATTTCCACAATGTAGTTTGTGGCTAACCGCAACAAATTTTCTTCAAATGGCCACAAAATAAATTTTGTAGCTATTTAGTTACAAAAATCTACAAAATAACTACAGATTACAGATTTCAGTTAATGGTGGCTGTTTTGTAGCTATTTGTGGTTTTAAAACAGCCACAAAATGTTTTTTGTGGCTAATTTGTAGCTAAATACTATTTTTCTTGTAGTGNGTGGCTAACCGCAACAAATTTTCTTCAAATGGCCACAAAATAAATTTTGTAGCTATTTAGTTACAAAAATCTACAAAATAACTACAGATTACAGATTTCAGTTAATGGTGGCTGTTTTGTAGCTATTTGTGGTTTTAAAACAGCCACAAAATGTTTTTTGTGGCTAATTTGTAGCTAAATACTATTTTTCTTGTAGTGTAATATCTATTTTCACCAGAAAGAAGGAGAAGTTAGTGCACTGGATCTTTGTGGAAGTGAAGTGGGAGGAGGATTCAAAATAGCCGTTCGGCGCGTAGCTACGATCTTTTCTAACCGTCCCCCTCCCTCTTCCTCCGGTGAAAGTGAAATTTACTTCGGCTACTCTATCCCAGGTACATTGAAAAAAAAAATTGTTTGTTTCTTTGATTTCTAAGTTTAAAAAGAAAAAACTCTCATGAATTTTTGTGTTGATTGTATATGTAGCTCATATGATCGAGTTTTCCGCCGAGATCAAAAACAAGGTCACTGCTCTTAAGAAGACACGAGGTCATCGCTGCTTTTGAGTTGTTAATGTTTGGCTGTTTATTCCTATTTGGTTCGGTGTGAGGCGACTAATAACTTTATTTCGGACTTAGAGCACCTCTAATGGTGTTACCCACCATTGGAGTCCTTAGGATTATAATATTTGTTTTTTTTTTTTGAATAGTTAAGAACTTCAAACTCAAATCTTCTTCCAATGGTGTTATCGATTATGGAATTCTTAAATTTTTTTCTATTTTTCTTGAATCCAATTACATAACAATAGAAAACAAGATAGAAAAGTAGTGTACTTGAGACTGGGTGAGCTTCTTCTTCAACTCAGTTGGGACTGGGTGAGCTTCTTCTTCAACTCAGTAGGCAGACGTTCATCTGAATTATTAAAAAAACCATACACATCATAAACACGTTGTTATAGACAAACCAATACACTTAATCATTTCACTATAACCCAAGACTACCTCTCACTATAAATCAAGACAGGAGAAAACATTATCAGCCAAGGAAGATACTACTGTGATATAGAGAAAGGTGTCAAACTTGTAATCTCTTTCTTATGCCACAAAAACTGGAATTATCTAAGCGTTCTAGTTCTGGTTCTTGTTGATATTAATGGAATCACGTTAAAGGCAGAGATGTATAAAAAGAATAATGTAGCATAAGATATTAACCAAACGGTAAGCTAAGAATCTTTTGTTGGTTCTCCCCCTCTACCTGGACCATCATCCTCGTTATGATAAATGTACTCAGCCATTTGTCATATCTGTAGTATATTGTCCTCAGCTACACTGGAAATAACCCAATATTCACAAGGGTTCCACGAGAAATCTATGACTTTGCTGGTGTGACCACCATGGATAAACAGCAGCTCCGATGGGCCGTCCCCTGCATCCTCTGCTGTCTGTTCCTCGTTGATCCTGTCATAAAGACACCATCAAACACATTAACTCCTTCATGAGGAAACAAAAGTATTCTACAACCCAAGCAACACAGTGTACTGCTCAAACCTGCTAACATCAGTTATCCCAAATCACAAGCAATACCGGTTTTTGTATTAAACTCGGTTTTTTCTCTTTGTCGACAAAACCAGACAAAATTGGTTTGATAGGTCTAAGTCAGAGTTTGGTCACTTTGGTTCAATTGGAAATCATAGCACTTGAGTTTTTTTTTTTAAGAGGCTAAAGTAGTACTTGAGTTGATTGATTCCGAATAAGAACCACCCTATTTAAAACCGAATTTTAGTTTCAATATTTTTTGAGAAATATATTTATTTCACACTATTGGGAGATGGATGTACTTCTAAAATAAATATAATAAATTTTCAATATAATTATATTATTTCTTCATCTAAAAAATTCATTTATACCATTCGACGTCAAATATAAAAGTGTGATGTAGATATATTCTGAATAAACTTTACTGTTTTCTTTTTGAAAAAAAAAACTTCTTTAAAACTAATAAAAGGGAACAGCTTTTTGAGTCACTCTAGATTGAGCCGAACTAATCCAAGCTGATGATAAATTAATGAGCAAATATTGATTATCAGTGGTATAATTTAGGGGAAATTGGGAAAATAAGTCATAATGAAATAGTTTTTGTCCTTTTGTACCTTTGTATTAATTGGTTAGTTTCAGACATAATTACCCTTATAGTAATAAAAATTATTATTAAAATTAATATCGAGTTCCTAAATATATGAAAAAGTCAATACAACTATGAGAATATTCTATACATTTTGATATAAAAATTTAAATTTCGAAAAAAAAATGGATGTGTTAATCTAAATTTGTTAGAATGTATATTGTTCATTCTAAATATTGTAAATATTTATCTATGATCTATTTAAATATAAAATACGTATGACTCAGTACTAGGCAAAACACTTTGTTATTTCTAACATACAATATATATTTTAGGCTTTTTACTTCATTGTAAGAAAAAGTAGAAAACGTTTACCTCCGTTCTATCCTATATTATATAATATATCGTAGATAGAACATCTTATTCTTACTTTTATCATATGTTCTAAAAAAGTTAGAATTTATGTTATAACTTTACGTCTATGTTTTTTTGATTTAGAATTTGTATTCTATATTTTCGATTATTTTATGTATTGAAATATGAGAAAATATAGGAACCAATCTTAACTAATTTTAGTCAAATTTATCTTGTTCTGGGGATTACAATGGTGTTTACTAAAACATGGTATTGATTATTGTTTACTTTTTGGTTTCAGATTGTTTGGTTTTCACACTTATGGAATCAATTTACATTCCTTGGTGCTCAGTTTGAGGAATAGAACAGTGGATATAACTCAATTACTTAGTGTTTTTAACAAAAACAAAACTATTATAAACACTGGAAATAATTAGAATAGATGAGAAAAGTGATATGAAACTCAAAGAACAAACATAAATCAAAAACTAAAAGAATAATTTTAAGTTGTTGTGATGAAACGAAGAAAGATACTGTTATTAGGATTTTTTTATAAATAAAATTAATAAACATAATTTAAAGTTAAGAAAATTATTTTATATATTTAGTTAGAGGGTTAATTTCGTACTAAAAATACCAAAAATATATTGAGACAAAATCAATAGGCTTAAAGGTATAAGAGGACAAACCATTTGTGAATATGGCTCAATTAGCCAATTTTTTTCTATAATTTATTCTCAACAAGTCCCAGTTAAAATTATAATTTTTTGTTTCCATTAATTCAAAAAAAATATACACATTGAAAACAGGTTTTATCAAAACTAATTATAATGGATGATTTAGTGGATGATATAATACCTTTTTAAAGCCTAATCAAAAAGTTAATGGCCCAACAACAGAAATTTTAAGTTGTTAGTCGATAGTATATCATATTTTGTCATTAAAAATCATTAATAAATTCAATAATTTAAAAAAGATCCCATGACAGATATAAATACCACTAAAAGATCACTTTAACAAACAAATCTAAATAAATTTATTGTTATTTCTTATATACATCACTAATAAATTCAATAATTTAAAAAACGTCCCATGACAGATTATGTTTATAAAAATATAATTTTTTTTTTATAAAAATATTTAAGTTCAATAATAAATCTAATTATACCTGTAATTGTGTTCTGTTTGCCAGAACCAAGGGGAAATATATATATATTTATATATCAATAATTATAAAAATTAACAAATAAGAACGAAAAAATATAGATAAACACAAAATAAATACATGGAACTATATAATTTTCATATAATTTTTGAGATAATTTTTATAGTATTAATTTGTAGTCAGTTAAATAATGTATTATATAATTATTTATTAAATATATCAAAACATTAATAAGTTCATTTATTTTTTTATGAAAACTAATGACTCAAAATACTAATTAAAATTATTTAAAATATTGAAAAATAAGAAAAAAATATTAATTCTTTTTATTTTATAAAACTATTTTAGTTTAATGATAAATTCAATTCAACATAATAAATAAGTAAAATTACATGGTATCATGGATAACTACCTGGTATCATGGATAATTACCAGGGTATATAACATGGTAACATGGATAACTACCACGTCTATATATATATATATATATATATATATATATATATATAGACATAATAATATAAAGGGGCAGAGATAGAACCACTTACAGCGGATCGATCCATCCGTCTTCCGGCTTACCGGCCTTGGACCCTTAGTCCATTGCGCTTAATTCCTTTCAGGAATATGTCTTCATATTTGTCTTAGTTGCTTATATAAGCCACAACCTCATATGGCTCAAGTCATACACACCAGACTCGATCAAGCCTTTATGGCTTTGATCGCAGATCTTGCCCTGATAGCTTGGATCCTCGTCTTTGTTTGGGGATCTTTGTGTTTAGGACGTGTGTCCTTTGTCTCTAACTGAATCAGACAGAGAGACTGAATGAAACGATCTCTGGTCGTGCACCCTATATATAGACAACCAGAAATCCTGTGCAAAAGAACACATCCCTTCCCCGCAGCCTTTTGGAACATGTCTTGACCATCGATTGCAATCAACGATCCAGATCGTACCTGTTCGGCCATAGAAGGTTCCATACACCTCTAGGCACGTCTAGGCTCAGTCCAGACTTGTATTTTGATTATAACATATAAAATATATATAATTAATATTAACATACTTGTATTTTGATAAGAACATAAACATATAAAATATATATGTTCTTAGTATCATCAGCAATGGAATATAATCATCTGCAATCAACGTCTGTAACATGAGAACTTCCCCAAAACCAAAGGTAAGCAGTTTCATATTAAAATATAAGTTATAAACTGTGATATTTTTATAAAATGAATTGCGTGTGTTTAGTACCTAGTTAAACAATATACCAAATCCAAGAAAAGCTATGAGTCTGGATTACGTAACCACTTGGTGTTCATACAGATCTTATTATGAACTTTTTTAGTTATTGTTTAGAGAAACAAACAAAATTTAATTTCCCGACAAGTAATTTCTTCATGATAATCAGAGTCGTTATGAGTAGATGTCTGTGTTAAAGCGCTTGAGCAAACCGACGAAGACGCTGAAGCAGAACAACAACAACACGTTGGAGTCACATTCAAATCGCAGCATCTCCTTCTCTTCTTGTCTTTTCTCAAAAAGTCATAGAATATCGGACAAGCACTCTTGTTGTCATCTTCGTCATTTTCTTTCTCTTCCTCCCTCTCTTTCTCATCTTCTTTCCTATTATTATTACTAGTATTGCTCGTCTTCTTCAAAAACACTCTGCACAGAACCCAGTTCGTGTTCTCTCCCTTAAAAAAAATAAACAAAAGAACCAAACTTAAGCCAAGTTTTAGTCAAACCGAACACTCTGATCGGAGTTTGTGAACCTTACGTGTATTTCTTGTTGCGAATCAAGAAGACGATACTCATGAAGAACCCAATTGGTTCTTGTTCCGTTTGGTGGTTTCCCTTTATAGAAAACCAGAGTTTTCTTCATCCCAACAAGCTTCTTTCCCCCTATTTGCTTATCTATACCAGTC